GGTCTGGGAGCCAGCTGGCCTTGGCTCTGTCCTTCATCTCACAGAAGCCACCCCTGTAGTCCCCTCTGCTACCTTGCTGCAGAAGCCCAATACAGGTGTAATTGAAAAAGATTGCAGCATTGAGTGACAGACGAATATAGTTGAAAGTAGAAGGCATTAATATCTACGTAAAGTTTAAAGGTGTAACCCCCAAGTAAAAGTGTTCGCCTCTAAAACGCATCCAGCTTCCACGCTGACACATGCCCTTGTTTTGTAGCCCAGCTTTCCAAACTGTATTACATCTGTAATGTAATATGTATTCCAAAATGTATTACATCTGCAGTGGTTAGTACTTGAATAGAAGCACTTTGCCACTGTGTATAAAGTTCCATGAAACATGAAACAGAAATGCTTCATGAAACAGAAATGCTCAGTGTTTTTTCAGTAGTAGATCTAAGAATGTATACTTTAAAAAAAAAAATCATCTCATTGTGTTGATTATTGACACCACATTTTTATTCTTGAGGAACGAATTCTCAGTTGAAAAGCTGAACAATAGAGAATTCCACAGTCTCGCTATCAGAGCTGACTGTCTTTTAAGTCAATTACAAGTTTCTAACAGGTTGGTAACGCCTGGGAAGCATTGGGTAATTTGCAGCGGATATATTTGTGTTTGTAGAAGTGGAAACTGAGCGAAGCTTAGCTAAAAGTGAAGTGCTTGGCTTATCTTCTTTTGCAAGAACTGTTTTATCTTCTTTGCTTTGCAGTTTAAAAATGAAGCCAGATGTTGTTTTGAGACATCTGTCCATTGCGGTGGCAGCTAATGACCAGAGTTACATGCCACAGCAAGTCACAGTGGCGGTGGGAAGGAATGCCAGCAGTCTTCAGGAGGTCCGAGACGTTCACATTCCAAGCAATATCACTGGCTACGTAACACTGTTGGAAAACGCTAACATTAGTCAGATGTGTGAGTCAATACAGATACCGTTGGTATATTGTTTTGCTGCTTTTTTGAAGGTGAAATTTGGGGTAGATCGTACAGCGATGTGTTGAAATGTCAGTCTTTAGAGCAGAAACCTTTGGCCTTGTCCTTTTGATTGTAGTTTATTTGCTGGTCTATAAGAGTCTTCTGAGTCTTTCTCATGGCATCTGTCTAACTTGGGCTAAGGGTTGAAGAGCAAGAATGACTAATGATGCAGTTTTAGCCTCTCAGTTTGAAGGCACAGGGCAATTTTAAAATATCTTTGCTTGCAGAGTGAAAGCATATGTTGGATAATAGTATCTAGCAAAAAATCTGCTTCTGAGCAACTTTTTTTTTTTTTTTGGTGGCAAAACTGAAGTTGGTCAGATGATTTTTGTAAAGCGGGTTTTGTGCTAAGAATTTTTAAGTAGCGTTATTTTTAAGTCTGGGAGATCTGTGGGTGCTGTGTTGGAATCAATCAGAAGAAAGCTGCTCCTTCCTCAGATAGTTCCTGCAGCTTCAGAAATGTTGTCCCTCCGGTTCAAATAGGCAGTTTTCACTAAGCTGAGCTTTCACTGCCCCAGAAGTGGGCAGCAAGGATGGTGTTCCTCAGAAGTAACTAGGACAATGTTAGCTCTGCAAAACAGTCAAGAACTTAGGTGAAATTTTTTATGTAATTAAAAAATTTGATTTTAGGCTTCACTCTTTTCCCCTATGTTCTCCACTACCTCTCCCAAGATAATTCCTATGTATGTGGGTAAAAAGGTACTGGTGAAATAATCTATAATCTATTTTCCACTTTGAGGGTCTTTTTACTACTTTTTTTCCTAGTTTCTAGCTGTACAATATGTAATGGATCACAAAGGCTAAATTTTCCATATCAGAGGGTGCACGATGAAGAAACACAAGGATATAGCTGTCTACGTGGGAGTACTGTTACATATCTGCTGCTGGCTTTCTGAGAGGTTTTGCAGTCATCGTTGTTTTGAATATCTGGATTCTTCTAGCTCTAATCCAGTAGAAGAAAAGGGGAAAAAAATATCTATTTTGTGTTTTGACAGATGTACAGATAAACATCAAACGTTGCCTTAGTGATGGATGTGACACCAGAATCCATGGGCTCAGAGCTGTGGGTTATCAAAGGGTCAAGAAGGTGGGCGTCTCTGTGTGCGATGCCTCCGCGATCTGGTACTGGTCTCTGCTGACCTCTCTGGTAACAGCTTCCATGGAAACAAACCCAGCCTTCGTTCACACTATTTTACAAAATACTCAGTAAGTACCAAACTTCCACGAGGTGTGACTTTTATTTGTTTTTTTAATTTACTTATGTAATACTTTCAGCTTAGTAAACTAATCTACCTCCTGTAACTGGTTTCTACTCCCTCCATTAAGGTGTTTAAACATCTTTTTAGCTATCACACTGTTTGAATGTTGGTACTTCTCTTTTATCTATTTGTACGTACTGGAACAAGTGTAATTCTCCTAAGCCAGGGCTGAACAGCCACTGAAAAATATGGGGTTTACCTATCCTTTGTCTTGTAATATTTTTGAGAAGCCTAGAACTAATTATTTTTCTTTGTTTATTAATTATAAGTTTTGGAGACCCTTCCATTGTGAAAGGAGCTTAATTAGGCTTAATTTTCAGCAAATGTTTGCTTGTGTCATGTCTTGTCGTGCATTACATGGGATATAGTCGGGTGTATGCAATATCTCTGTGCAGAAGTTTGTTTGTGGTGATTAGCCATTTTCTGTGTAACATTTCCTTGTTTGACTGCCAAACACTTCTACTCGATGACTTGAGGGACTGGAATCCTGATAAAATTGCCACACACCCACATCAACTTTTATATAGCTTAGTTAGCATGATGCCACCACTAAAGAGCACTAAAGTCATAAGGTTAATGAATACTCTAGGCTAAAGTCCATTAAGCCTGTCCTTAATTTGTGTCGTCTATGAAACTTCTAAAGTTTAGATAACTTTTTACTTGCTTAGATCTGAGGAAGGTTCGTAGTTCCGAGCTTTACTAAAACTGAGAACCTTCAGTCTTGCTACGGTTTTGCAGTTTGTTAGAAGTACAACGTGGATCCTGAGCTAATAAAGCCTAAAAAAGTTACGAAAGGGAAATCTTGACTAACAAGAAATAAAGGAATTACAAATTCAGTGTTTGGAATTATAAAGTGAGAACCCAAGCTTTAGTGTTGGATAGGATGACTTTGAAGAAAGCACTTAATGATTCCTGTTTTCAGGGATTATTACATTATCTTAGGAAATCAAACAAAAATTCTCATCTGAGCTAACAGGTTTCTCTCTTAGTTTCTGTAGTTGTTCTGAAAGAATTTGAAAGCAATTTTCTCTTTATTAACAGGCTCTTACTCAATCCTAGAACTATTTAAAATGAAGCAGTATTTGGACACTAAGCTGTTAGTAATACTGTCACAGATTTAGTTCAAAACCCCTTGATTTATTTGTCTCATTAAATCTTGAAATCATGAGGCTAAGATTCAAGATTACCTAGCAGTCGTTGAACTCGCCCCACCCAGAATGCAGTACTGGGCTTGTCTTTTGAACAGATTGTCTGTGCCAATAGATTTTCTGCATTCAGAATCTATTTGTAGAGACCTACTCAAAAAAACCCATGAAGATTTAAATGTCTAATTTATTTTAGAAGGCTGTTTTCTCTGATTGTGCCTGGTTTTCTGATGTTCTATTCTGTCCCTTTTACTAGGAAAGCACTGCAACACATGCCACCTCTATCCCTAACACCAGGCTCTACAGATTTTTCAAGCTTCTTATCTCCAAATGTTTTGGAAGAAGTCGATAGCTTCCTTATAAGAATAACAAGGTGAGATTGTGTTGATGTATTTTGTTGTAGTGGAAAATGGTTCAGAAGGATTTGTACAGCAAGTATCTCTCACCTACTCCTTTTTTTCTGTATCTTGAAGAATTCAAAGACGTTTAGAAACAGGCACCTTAGACTTTTTTTTTTCCCATGTGAGCATTATTTGACTTTATTTAAAAACAGTGTCCTGAGTTTTCTTTTCATACTGTTGTTTTTTTTTCCCTCCCCAGTTGTTGTACTACTCCAGAGGTTGAACTTACACTCTTGGCCTTTGCCTTAGCCAGAGGGAGTGTCGCTAAAGTGCTAAGTTCCCTTTGTACAGTCACTGATCATCTGGACACTCCATACAAGGCTTCATCCCTTATTGCTTCCATGGCAACAGTTAGACAGAACCTGCTGCATAAATACGGTAAATGAAGAATTGTTGGATCCTTTACTGTACATACGTAAGACAACATGCAGCTTTGAGTTGTTTTACTTGTCCTGCTGGGGTTTGAAACGATACAAGCCTTCTGTTACCCAGAAGATAGCCTGTGAAGCTGGACTGCCTTGAAAGCTGATGATTAGATCAGCTTTCTGTGATCTAAGAGTTGAACCAGGTGGCATCATCTTGAGGGAGAAAATGTGAACTTCGTAGCTAGTGTCCCCTATCAACACGGTGATAGTGTTTGTATTGTATAAAAGGCAAATGGCAGCAAGGATTTTTATTCTTCCAATAACACGTTTTTTGTATGTTTAGCCCCAGTCAGTTGTCTCTCTTGGAGGCATGTCCACAAATTTAAGATGTGTTTTAAATGTAATGTCATCAGCATCTATTTACAGTTCTTCTATTTTCACTTTTATACAATTAATCTGAGCATGTCCTACGCGTAGAGCTGGGCATGGTCTGACATAAGGCAGTAAGATTTTGCTGTATCCACCGTACCTGTCTGATAAATCTGTGTTTTCTCAGGTGTCAACTTCTGAGATTATCATTAGTATCTCACGAAGAATTTTTCCCTTTGTTTGCCTTTTAATATGTTTTTTGTCAGGACATTTTGGCTTGTGCCAGAGAATACATTAATTATTTTGTATTATCAGTAATTAGTTTCAAAAGTTTTGAAAATTGCTTCATTTTTCCCCAGAGTAGCTGCTGCTTTTTGCAAGACAAGAGTGGTATTTCATGTATTGTGAATCCTAAAGTGTGCACACAGTTGAAGGAACATTAGTTGTCACGATTTTTATTGTCCTTCTGTCTGTATCTGAGACTCGAGCTATTTTAGATCAATGTATCTTTTATACCCCAGTTTCTTCCCCCCTTTTTTTTTTTGTCTGACAATGGTAGGAATCTTAGTGTTGTAATTTTTTTCATTTGTTTTCTGTGTGAAGAACTTAAAACTGGAAAATAAGCTTTCTATTTTATGAATTTGATAAACCTGTTGATTTTCTTACTTAGGAAAACCATTACGACTAACTTTGCAAGCATGTGATGTAAAGGGAAAAGAAGATAAATCAGGGCCTGAAAACCTCCTTGTAGAGCCATGGACTGGGGATGGTAAGAATCTGGACTTAAAATCCAGAGTATTCGACCAGACACAAAGGCTGTTAACAAGGCTGTGGTCCTGTAGCATATGTATTGGATAATACTCAACAGTTTCATGACATGGAAGATCTGTAATTAAAAACCAAACCTGTAAACATGTAAATTCTGTTTTACAATAAGGTGAATTTCTCAGGAGCCACTTTGTTGTCAAAACAAACCAAACAAACAAAAGATTGGATTTTGGGGAGAATTATTCATACTCTACATGGAAGTGAGCAATGAGCTGTCACAAAGAAATTACTCTAGAGCACATTTTGTGGGTTGGAGTCATGAATCATAAACTGCTCGTTTCCCAAATATTAGTGGAGAGATATGGTACAAATCATGGAAATTTTCACTGGTTTCGTGTAACTATTAATTCTCCTTTAAAGCCCGTGTTTGTTAATGCAATGTTTTTGTGCTGGATACAACATAAAGAGATTTGTGTTCCTTGACCTCCTTTTTAAGTGAAATGCCACCTAATCTTTTTTGAAAAAAAAGATGTATTGTCTTATGCTGCCGGTAAATGAAAGCTATTATGATAGAAAATGAGGCACATTATAAATGCTTATTTTACCCCTTCTTTTGCTTATGTTTATTGTTTGAGTTTGCTTAGTTTGTGGATTCTCTGGGTTTTGTTTTATGGATCGCAGCCTGAGGAACAGGGAGTTATGTCAGTGAACAGAGCCATAAGCCAAAGGAATATTTGGGAGTCACTAGTAAACTTCAATAGGGAAACAGTCTTGAAATAGCTGTAGATGCGTTCTCTGTAGAAACACTGGCTGGAGACACCTGTGTGCACTCTGGGAGCATGTAACAACACAGAATCACAGAATCATTCAGGTTGGAAAAGACCTTTGAGACGATCCACTCCCACCATCAACTCTACTCTGCCAAGCCCACCCCTAAACCGTATCTCCAGGCACCAAATCCAAAGGACCTTTATCAGGGATGGTGACTCAACTCCCTCCCTGGGCAGCCTGTTCCAATGCCTGACAACTCTTTCAGTGGAAAAGTTTTTCCTAATGTCAAGCCTAAACCTACCCTGGTGCAGCTTGAGTCTGTTCCCTCTTGTTCTATCACAAATTACCTGTGAGAAGAGGCCAGCACCCACCTCTCTACAATGTCCTCTCAGGTAGTTGTAGAGAGCAATAAGGTCTCCCCTCAGCCTCCTTTTCTTAAGACTCAATAGCCCCAGTTCCCTCAGCTGCCCTTCATAAGACTTGCTCTCTAGGCCTTTCACCAGCTTTGTTGCCCTTCTCTGCGCTCTCTCCAGCACCTCGATGTCTGTCTTGTATCGAGATGCCCAAAACTGAACACAGCACTCGAGGTGC